AAATATATACATACCCTATAATTTTTCCAAAATTACCTTTGCCTTAAGAGGTTATTCATTTTTCATAATCAAAAGCCAAAAATATACTGAACTTTATTTTTCCTTTCCTTTTTTCTTTTTGTTCTTTGTGCAGGGCTCTCCTTCAAATGTGAAATACACTTTGCTTACTTAAGATTTCAGCAAGAACGATGACTTAAATCTGAAGTTGTCTGCACAGATAGCTGTATTTGTTCATGATTATGTTTTAGCAAGTGGATTGCTGAAAAGCTGAGCAGTTTTGTTATTGCAAAATATTGCCTTTATTTCATAAGACTGTCATTTTATAAGGCCACTTTGTGTATATATGGCATGGTCACAGAGCAAATAGCACAGGGCTTTATTGCTTCAAAATGATGCACACTGAGAGGGAGGATGTTTTCTGCCACATGCTCACATGCATAAACATACATAATTTAATCTAATTTGTTGAATTAAATAATAAGGGGTTAGAGCATGTTTCCAAGTGTGTGATTAATTCCTTAGCCCAGTACAAAAAAGTGCTGTGTCTAAATGTTGTATATTTTGCCACCTTCACTGCTCTTAGCAATTTACTTAAGTTAAACAAACAACAAAGAAAACATTACAAAGAAAATGGCATGGGAACTACTGGTTTTACTGGCTGTTAAGCAAGTTAGAAATCCATAATAGAACAAAATGCTTTTATTCTGCAGAGGTTCCTTAGTTACACAAGTGTGTGATTTTTTAATTTTTATTTAATGTATTTATATTGTATACCAATATACTTTAAACAATTTACAATACTATAGTAAAATAACATAAAGCAATATATGAAATAAAATACAAATATGAACTGAAAAAGAGCAAAACTGGCTGCAATATAAAATAACTACAACAGGAGATTAGTACAAAGCATTTTAAAACCCCTAAAAGGTTTTATGGTTGAAAAAACTGGGAGTATTAAATTCCATTTTCCACTGGAAGAACTATAATGTGGTTGCCTGGTGCACATTTCTGGAGAAAGCAATCTGCAACTCAGGTATCATAATTAAAAAGGCTCTCTGCCAAATCTTACCATGTAGTCAGTGCTAAACTTTGTAGCATGCCATGTTGTTAGAACTTCAGCAAAAATGTTCTGGACAGTAGTTGGAAAATTTTGATAGAATATGCTACAGATGTTAAGTTATAATGTAGTTCCTTCCTCCCTTTCTCCCTCCCTCCTTCCTTCCTTCCTCCTCCCTCCCTCTTATACATTTCCTTGCAATCTGTTTGGCAATTAAAGAGCCTTATAACTGAAAAGAAAATTCAAATTCAGATATAAACAAACCAATAGGAACCAGAAAAAAAATAATATTGATTAAATTAAAATTTTAATATTGGTTAAATAGAAATGTTTAACTAAATACTTGATGGAAGACATTATTACTTCCAATAGAAGAGAATATATGTAGCTCAGGGTTGAACGGCAAGTCCTCGGTGTTTTCTGAATTTGGTTGTTTGCTTGCAGACATTTCATTACTCAACTAGGTAACTTCATCGGTGCTAGTGAGCATGGGGTTTGCTCTCTGTTTATATACAGTAGCTTGCCCTTCCATTTTAGTGGGGGTGTGGTTTCTCCTTGGTAGGTCCTTTTTAGGGTGTTGGCTGCTGGAGAGAAACTGGAGAACACATTCTCTCCAGCAGCCAACACCCAAATGAGCAAGGATTAATACCAGCCAAAACAATCAAGCAGAAAACAATACTCTAATCCAGTGATGGCGAACCTTTTAGCGACCAAGTGCCCCAAAACTGACCCTACCCCTGCCCCACCTCCTGCCCCCCCCCCACCCTGCCTGCCCGGAGGGCCATTCACCACCTCCAGGGCCCGCTGCAGATCGCCCAGGCAGCCCAGCAGCATCATGGCGGCCATGCTCTCTGCCCATGCCCCGTAGCATCAACTGTGTGCGTTGGGGCATGAGGGCAGAGTTGCTGCCTGGCTGCCATGTCCTTGGCTGTGCTGTTCTGCATGGGCCACGCTCCGGGGCGATTCTCCTCCAAGGAGGCTGCTGGTGAGGAGAGGGTTGCGGGTGGAAGCAAGGCTGGGGCAACAGCATGTGTGCCTACAGAGAGGGCTCCGAGTGCCACCTCTGGCACCCGTGCCATAGGTTCGCCACCACTGCTCTAATCAAAGGGGAGTGAGGATTTCAGGTTTTTGTATACAATGAATTTTAAATGTTGTAAGCCAGTTAGAGTCACCATGTTTGAATTGGGTGACCATGTAAATTTGTTTAATAAAGAAATACACTTCCAAGGAGAAAACTGCCACCAATATTAGCAGGGCAAGCATTTTCTTAGATCATGGCACTTTTGATAATTTGAACTGGATTTTTTTGTTCAAAGTTTTAGAAGATATGAATGTTGGAGGCAAGTTAATATAAGTTTATAAATTTGCAGATGACACCAAGCTGAGGGGAATAGCCAATACTTTAGAAGATTGGCTTGAGATCCAGAAGGATCTTGACAGACTTGAACACTGGGCCCTATCTAGCAAAATGCAGTTCAGTGTGAGAAATGTAAGGTTTCACACAGGCAAAAAACCAAAGGCACAGATATAGAACAAGTAGTACATGGCTCAACAGCAGTAACCCTGAGAGGGATCTAGGAATCCTAGTGGACAATCACTTAAATATGAGCCAGCAGTGTGCTGCACTGCCAAAAAAGTCAATACAGTCCTAGGTTACATCAGTACAGAGATAGTATCAAAGCCACATGAAAGACTAGTGTCACTTTATGCTGCTTTGGTCACAGCGATACAAAAAAGATGCTGAGACTCTGGAAAGAATGCAAAGAAGAGCAACAAAGATGATTAGAGGGTGGAGGCTAAAACATATGATGAATGGTTGCAGGAACTGGGTATGTCTAGTCTAACAAAAAGAAGGACTAGAGTTGACATGATAGCAGTCTTCCAATATTTGAGTGCCTATAGTTAATGTGAGATACAAAAAGATATAAGACAAAGTTGCCCACAGTCTCTGTTTTGTTTATTTCAGTTTTTGAAATATCAAATAAAGGTATACAACAAGTTGACAATTTTTGTAGAAGATTTGGTTTTGGCAGATTCCTTAAAAGAAATTGAGTAAATTAAAAATAGATTGAAAGAATTTTAGTGACTAGTAGGTTTCAAGGTTAATAAACAGAAGACAGAGATGTTAACTGAAAATATGAAGATACAAGATCAAATAGAATTGAGGAATAAAACAGCTTTTAAGATTGAGAAGAAGGTAAAATATTCAGTATAACTGACAAATATGATGTTATCTTATTTCAAGATAATTGTTAAGTTAATGAAGTCAAAAAGACATGTTAAGATGGGATCAATTACAATTGTTATTGTTAGATAGAATTTCTGTGACTAAGATGAATATTTTATCTAGAATGTTATTTTTGTTTCAGACAATACCTGATGTAGCATTTAAACAATGACAGAAGGATATATCTAAATTTGTATGGCAAGGAATTAAAAAAACACGAGTTAAATATAAGGTATTACAAGATGTGAAGGAAAAAGGAAATTAGGGCCTAGCAGATTTGAAACTATATTTTGCAGCCTGCTATTTGATTTGAACGAAAAGTGTATGTTGTTAAGAAATAGAAGGTTATTGGATTTAGAAGGTCACGATTTGAAATTTGAGTGGCATTCGCATAAATATAGATTTTAAAATTCTTTTATCTCAGATGGGCTATTCTTAGAGTATAGAATGAATTTAACTGTAGAGGTTTTTAAGAAGAGATTAGACAGCCATTTGTCCAGAATTGTATACGGTCTCCTGCTTAAGCAAGGGGTTAGACTAGAAAACCTTTAAGGTGCCTTCCAGCTCTGTTATTTTGTATTTTATATTTTTCTGCTAGTGGAATTCCACTGGTGCAAAGATAACACTATATTTATGTAATTATTTCTTCTCCGTCATCCCAAGAGCAGTTGGATTGATTCTAAGACTTACCATTCCACTCGATACAATTTGAAGAATTTATTGGAGTATGTTAATAACGATGCACTGCTAAATAGAATGGAATTACAATCATTTGGATTTATTTAAAAATATATTATTATTGTTGTTATTGTTATTATTATTATCTATCATGGTATATTTTTGCCATCAGTATGCCTGAAGTATAAAAAAAAATAACATTGTTCAATTATATCGTCTTATACAAAATAGTTCCAAAAGTAACCAAGATGATATAAAGCTACCAAAGATCTAATAATGACCAGGCAATAGTCTACTCTAGTGGCTGAAATCTCTCCTGTCTTGAAGCTTAGTTATCATCTAATTTATTTTCTTCCAAGCAGTATATCTTCATCTTTTCCACCAATGCTTAATACATTACACTTCAGAATATGTGGTCTGTTAAAGGTCTTCCTTATACATGTTCATGGTCTCCTCCCGTGACTTTAAAAGTGTCTGATGGCCCTGAAACATACCCTGAAGAATACATTTATTCCAATAGAAAATGGAGAAACATCACCACCTGCAAATGAATTAGTGACACCTTTCCAAAGAGAGATGAGATCAGCATTTGGCATGCATCCTGAGTTTGGGGGTTGCCTGGCTACTGGTTCAACTAATTCCTCACTACACATGGAGTGTGTGGGGGGGGGGGGAGAAGGAAGAGAAAAGGAGAGAGAGAAATATGTTCTGAAAGTGGCTGGTTTCCTTTCAGGGCTAGCATTCAATCATACTTTTCTATCCATAGAATTTTCACACAGTTTAAAAGCTTTTGCAATTAAGAGATGCTATGAACTGAATGGCCCTCTGTGTGAATGGTTTTTTTTTTCGTCCCATAAGAATAGTGCTTTCTTTAAAGAATGAATATTACCTGGGAGTCAAAAAGGATCCAGAGGGAATTTGGGTGGAATTTTTCTATTGTTCTGAGAATAATTCTTTCAAAAGCATTAACTATGCAGTCTTGCCAGTATACCTACTTCATCTGCGTGTACTGCTGCAAAATTGCTACTGGGCTTCATCCTGCTGATTTCCAAATTGGCACATTGTTGAAGAAGTCCTGCGTAGTTTTATTCTCCTTTGCTATTTCCTAACTGGAAATTCAGTGTTCCTATCCTGTAATTATCCCAATATCTATAAAAAGCTTCAGATGAGGTGCATTGGAGTGGTTGTGCATTTAGTTCTTTGACTGTGTTACCCTACAGATCAGTAACCTTGATTGATCTGCTGTATTCCCAACCTTTCCTTTCTTCTTTCCAGAAGCAAAAGGGGTTGAAATGCCAATCAAACTGACTGTGTCCCAGGGGCAGCCAGTGAAGCTGAACTGTAGCCTGGAGGGAATGGAAGAACCGGAGATGCTGTGGATCAAGGATGGAGCTGTGGTGCAGGGTATAGACCAGGTGTACATTCCAGTAAATGAAGAACACTGGATAGGCTTCCTCAGGTAAGAATGAAATACAGAACAGAATATGTTAGATCAATCTATGATTAATGCTAATATTAAAGATTAGTTTATTTTGACATTTTCTGTGGAACATTGTATGTGGGGAAGGGCATTTGTGATTCTCTCGTCCTCCCTTATTTATTTTCACAGCAGTCCCATGAAATAATTTAGGTTGAGCCTAAGGCACCAGGTAAAATATCCAACTGGGCAATTTGTTTCCTGGATTTATTCTTTATTTGCTTAATATCTCATGAATCGTAGCCAACAACTCTAAGATGGGCAGACTTTCACATCCAATATAGAATTCTGGAAGTTGAAGTCTACAAATCTTGATGTTGCTGAGATTAGAAACACTGATCTAAACTTTTCATGCTTTCTAGTTCTTTCCCCATTTTTGTTGCTAATAATTTATAACATTTGTACATACTATTGAAATGCTTAAGGCACTATGCATTCATTATTTAGTAGCAATGCTTATGACAATACTGAACAAGTTCAGTATAATTTCCCCCTCCTCCCATAAGACAGCCTGAGTGAGAATTATTTGCTATAGGCAACAGTGGGCAGCTTTTTAAGGACTGCATTTTGGAGGGACAAAACTACTGTGAGAATGCTAAGTGGGTGGATTTTCAATTTCTTCCTTTGTTGTAGGAGAGGAAAGTCTCTTTGTTTTTTGTTGGTTTGCTAAGCTTATTTTAGGGGATTTGTGCCTGTAGCAAAATAATGGTAAGTGGTGTTTCTGTCTATAACAGTGATGGTGAACCTTTTAGAGACCGAGTGCCCAAACTGCAACCCAAAACCCATTTATGCATCGTCGGGTTCCGGCTGGGTGTGGCCATTGGCTGGGCGTGGCACATTGGCTGGGCAAGGCTGCGGTGGTAACGGCAGACTGGGTGGGACTAAAAAGTTCAATCAGTCAATTCCAATTTTGCAAGAACTTTTTTTTCCCGCGAGAAGTTGAAATTGATTGATTGATTGATTGAACCTTTTATAAAACCCAGCTGAAGGCTTAGAATTGGGCCACAGCGCACGTGCCCACAGAGAGGGCTCTGAGTGCCGCCTCTGGCACCTGTGCCATAGGTTTGCCACCACTGGTCTATAGAAACTCTCAGTCATCCAGGTCATGGTTGTCCCGAAGTGGTTTTTCAAGAGGCAACTAGACTTCCTTGTTTTTTTGTTTGAAGATCTTTTGCTTCTCATCCAAGGACCTTCTTCAGCTCTGACATCTTCAAAGCAAAACAAGAAAGTATAGTTGTCTCTTGAAAAAGCACCTTTGGAACAAATGGTATTACTGTTTTTCAAAATTATGGTAGAGGGACTCCAGGGATATACTGGGACATCCATGAGAAGGGGAGATATCAGAAAAGTCAAGATGGTAGTCACAACCCACAGACCTTTGATTGCATGGCTGCTATTGCCATTATGACTTTTAACAACACACACACACACACACACACACACACACACACACACACTGCAGATATTCTTGGAGTCAGAAAAAGGAAGTTTTTGGAGCTTTTATTTATCCCTGTGGCTTAAGGAAAACTATTTTTGCAACCTGATCTTAAGAAGCCCATTTGAAATATGTCCAACTGTACGTCCAACTGGTAAAACTTCACAGTACCATCTCTCTGTCAACCACCCAATCTTTTTCTTTTCTGTACCACTCATCCTTTCCATTTATTAGAATTTCTTGATGGCACTTGCAGGACTAGGAATTTAAGAAAGGAAGAAACAAAAGTGTTTTGATAAGATAGACGGTTTGGTGGGTGCCAGACAACTTACCTGTAGCACATTTGTGGCTATGGATAACCTATTGCAGTGATGGCGAACCTTTTAGAGACCGAGTGCCCAAAAACTGGCCCTGCCCTGCTCCACCCCCTGCCCCATCCCTGCTTCACCCCACCCTGCCTGCCCGCAGGGCCACTCACCGCCTCCAGGGCCCGCCGCAGATCGCCCAGGCAGCCCAGCAGCACCATGGCAGCCACACCCTCTGCCCACGCCCCGCAGCATCAACTGTGTGCGATGGCACGTGAGGGCAGAGTCTTGTCTACGCTGCCTGGCTGCCATGTCCTTGGCTGCGCTGCTCTGCATGGGCCATGCTTGGGGGCGATTCTCCTCCAGGGAGGCTGCTGATGAGGGGGTCGCGGCAGAGGCAAGGCTGGGGCAACGGCATGTGTGCCCACAGAGAGGGGTCCGAGTGCCGCCTCTGGCACCCGTGCCATAGGCTCGCCACCACTTACCTATTGTAATCACTGGAAACAGAATATGTTTTGCAAATACATGAAAATAAAGATAAAGGTGGATCTATAAATGCAGTTTTCTTGGCAACAGGAGAAATGCAGCTTTGTATGCCCTTCTCTGGGGCTACTTTTTAACTTCCCAGTTTGACTAAACACAGCAATCTTCCTGGCAGTTCTAACCAGGCCTAGCCCTACTTCTAAACCCAGACCCAGTTGTGTGGGTGCTGCTACTTACTGTGTGTAATTTTTAACCAGGGGTCTTGTTTTTTACATCCTGGATTCATACATAAAATAAGAGGTCATTTTTATAAGTAATAGAGAGGCAGAATATTCCAGTGCAAGAATGCAAATTGACATTGAATTGTCCATTCCCAACCTCTTAGCTTTATTAGCTAAGGAATCCAGAAAAAAACTTCCATTTCCCTCCAACTTTAAGAATGCATGAAAGAGAATTTGCTTCTGAGATATAAGTAAACATTTCCTTGACATTGTTTTTTTTCCCCTTTCACATTCTTTTCTCCTTGACTTTGATTAAAAGGAGAGAGTTTAATTCAGGCTGTACTTCTTAGATCAAATATGGGTTCTGTTGAGAGAAAAAGATGTGTCATACAAACCAAGCCTTAGTCATCTCCCACAAGTAATGTCCCAGTGTATTTACTCCATCATTTACTTTAAGCCAAGCGTGCAATACTTCAGACAGTTGATATAAAACATAGAAAAGATGCTTAGTGTGCTTCTGTGTATGTGTATAAAAAAACTTGAACCAGTTTTCCTGGTGCTTTTGTCAGATGTATTTGAGAAGAAGCTATCTGGAAATATCCCCTTTGAAGCCTTCCAAATAAATAGTTTCTTGAGATTTGTAAATTGTCAGCAGAGCCCTTGAAATTTTATTATGCTTCTGTAATGAAATTGATATCTCAGTGTTTGCAGGAAATTAATATTTCAGTGTTCTACAGTGACAAGCTTTAACGTTTGTACCTCAGGCAATCCTAACTAAAGTCTCCACTGGAGACTTCGGGTTACGTTGGTTGAATAATACTATATGGAAGGGCAGGGCAGGACAGACAGCAAATTAATAGGAAAATTAGGGAAACCTAAATATGAGAGTAGACTTCCTGTCTTAATGTCCAGAATGTGGGTTTAGTTATTACAAAGCTGGACACTGTCCCTAGTAGAAAGTTTGATAATTTTAAGAGCTAGTGCTGAGTGGTGGATAAGGCATTGAACTAGGACTGGGGAGATTCAGATCTAAATCCATCCTCAGTCATGGAAATTCTGGCATATATATATATATTTGACCACTCACTTTCTCTTGGTTCAGCCTACTTTACCGGGTTATTGTGGCATGGAAAAAATGAAGGCAGCTGCCCATGAACATCCACCTGAGCTCCTAGAGAAAATGATATATATATTACCATGCAAATTAATAGCTGAGAGTAGAATATTTCTCTTGGATCAGGTTTTTAAGATGTCGCCCCTAACAGCTTCTACAACAAATTGAAGTGATGCATTTCCTAAATGTTGTTATTATTTACCTGACATCTGAGACAAGTATATAAGTCACAGTATTTGCATCATGACATCACGCATGCTTCATCATTTATTGCCTTGCCTCACCATCACCACCCCTTGTATCTCCTGTGGACATCCATGGCTGTATCTCATCCCAGTGAAATGAGTTATACTCCCAAAGGCATTATAATAAGAAAATGATTAGTTTGTTTGGAGCTTATTAAATTTGAGCTATGCTGAGTAAGTTCAAAAAAATCACAGATCCTTAAGTAATTTCTTTTATGAAGGAACATTTGCTGTGTCCCGTTCACTCTTGTAAAACAAACATATTTGCTCTCTCTGCATATTTCCAAACTTCAGGTTTAGGGCTGGATAGCTTGGCAACATCAGACTTCCTGGAACCAGTGAATGATTTAACTTTCTCAAAATCTTCAGACAGGAATTGCACAGTTAATTCATGTGGGCAGTAATCCTAGATTATTACTTACCTTCCATTGGTGCCAATTTTTCCTAAACCCTTTTGAAAAAAGATCTTTCACTTCATTCATTGCAGTGTTTTTGTTTCTAGAGAAAATTTCCTCAACCAAATGTCCTCTAAATGTTTTGGGATCCCATAATTTCTGACCAGCATAATCAACACTTGGAAGCTGTGTTAGGGAAGGCTGTTCTAGAACATAGTTCTATCACTGCTGCGTAGTTCCAAGGGATAATTGCTTAGTTAATGCCCTTCTCCAAAAAGCTCCCTCTGCTTTCTGATCTATTCACAGAAACATTTTTGGGTGAAACCACCTGAAGGGGAACAACTTTGTTTATGTGTTTTTTTGTTTGCCACCCATCTCAGCCATAAGGTGATTCTGGGCAGCTTATAATGTTGTAGGATTTAATTCAGTGGCAGTGAAAACATCTTGTTTGCAAAATGGTTGCAAGTTTAACGCTTGGCAATTTTAGTCTAGATGGCTAAGCTGGAAATGTCTTCCAGGTAGAATCTGCTAGTCAGAGGAGATAGTTATTGACTAGATTTTATTTTGAGATACAGTTTGATATAGTAGCTAAGGCATCAGGCTAGAAATGAAGACTATGAGTCCTAGTCCTAGTCTTAGCTAACTGGATGATCTTGGGCCAATCAATTTCTCACAGCCCTAGGAATCAAGCAATGACAAACTACTTCTGAAATCTTGCCAAGAAAACTACAGGGCCTAGTCTGGACAGTTGCCAAAAGTCAAAACTGACTTGAAGGCACACACATAAAAAATGTTTCATTTATTTCATTGATGCAGTTCCCTTTCTTCCTTTTTAAAATGTTCGGGGTGGGGAAAAACAATAACACTAAAAAGGCTACATTTTTCAACTTGTCACAAATTAAAATTTTCTGGAAAAACAAAAGAATTGAGAGATATTTTATATCAAATTTTTGTTTGTATACAGTGTTATTTACCATTTTATATTCCCCTTTCAAACTCTCTAGCTTGAAGTCTGTAGATCGGACAGATTCTGGAAAATATTGGTGCCAAGTGGAGACCAATGGGAAGAAAGAGGAATCACAGCATGTATGGCTTATTGTGGAAGGTAAGGGGCCATGTTGCTGACTTCTTCTGAGACGGTTGTTATAACTGTACATGAAGGTTGTGAGAAGAGATTGCCTTGATTAATGTTAGCTAATTTCCAGGGTTTGGGCACCTATGACCAAAACAAGCATACTCTCATAATGAGCCAATAAAGAGCCAAGTGGTGGAAGGGGGCAGCTGTTGGCTATTACATAATTTTTGTTATCTTTGGTAGTACAGTATATGGAACATTTCCAGTGCTATTTCCAGACTTGTATTTGAAAATGTGCATAGGAAATTGCTAGAGCGTGGCAGTCGGCCTCTGTCTTCACAATAGAATAATGAGATGAGTATGTTGGTGATTATATCAAATGTGGAGGAAGGTCCAGAGAATTTTCAAGATACTGACTTGCCACTTCTGTGTGAGGAGAGATTGGTGTCTTTCTCTGTTTTAGTTCTTAGATATATGTTATGAAAATCAGGGATAGGGAGATCACATATTATTGCCTGTGGCATTGATTTTAAATATATGGCTTAGCTTTGTTAGGAAATTCCAAAGGATCCCAGTCAGTTACAGATAAATGTTAATCAGATTAAGGAGAGGCAGGAGACTGTTAAACACAAGCTAGGGATGTGTTCAAAGGTCAATAGCTATGATCAGGAAGAAGTTGGAGTTGAGTATTAGATTTGGTAGATCATAATCAAAGAGACAGAGGATGAGGTTTAGTGGAAAACTGGGCTGGAGAATTAATGTTAGATAAAGTCAGACAAGCTAAAACTAAGGAAAAAATGGTTTGGATAGATCAGTGATGGCGAACCTTTTAGAGACCGAGTGCCCAAAAACTGGCCCTGCCCCTGCCCCCGCCCCCGCCCCACCCCCGCCCCCGCCCCACCCCGTTCCACCCCCGCTTCACCCCACCCTGCCTGCCCGCAAGGCCACTCACCACCTCCAAGGCCCGCTGTAGATCGCCCAGGCAGCCCAGCAGTGCCATGGCGGCCATGCCTTCAGCCCATGCCCCACAGCATCAATTGTGTGCGTTGGGGCGTGAGGGCAGAGTCTTGTCTACGCTGCCTGGCTGCCATGTCCTTGGCTGCGCTGCTCCGTGTAGGCCATGCTCAGGGGCGATTCTCCTCCAGGGAGGCTGCTGGTGAGGAGGGGGTTGCAGGTGGAGACAAGGCTGGGGCAATGGCACGTGTGCGCACAGAGAGGGCTCCGAGTGCCGCCTCTGGCACCCATGCCATAGGTTCGCCACCACTGGGATAGACAGTTCTTATAAGTAAATGCTCCAGTCTGCTTGGCTGGTTCAGGAACCAGAAGGCTGGTGTCCCAGGAGGGAGATTGTCTATTGGAGGCTCTGATTAAATATCTCACATGGTGTCTTACTGCACATTAAATTTTAATGGTTGTGGGGTTTTTTTTCCTCCTGGTATCACTGTTTAGATTTTTAAATAGTCTATATTTTGATAGTTGATGAATGTAATAGGATCTTAGCTGCTTATTAATGCACCTGTGCTTTTAACTGTAGTGAAAGTGTGTTGGAGTAGCATATAGGGCAGTGATAGCGAACCTTTTAGAGACCGAGTGCCCAAACTGCAACCCAAAACCCACTTATGCATCATCGGGTGCTGGGTGGGCGTGGTTCATTGGGTGGGCATGGCCCATTGGGTGGGCATGGCTGCGGTGGTAATGGCAGACTGGGTGGGACTAAAAAGTTCAATCAATCAATTCCAACTTTGCAAGATCTTTTTTTTTCCCGCAAGAAGTTGAAATTGACTGATTGATTGAACCTTTTTTTTTTTGCACACGGCGGCGGAGGCCTAAAGTGAAAAGGTTTTATAAAACCCAGCTGAAGGCCTAGAACTGGGGTGATGGCACACGTGCCACAGAGAGGGCTCTGAGTGCCATCTCTGGCACCCGTGCCATAGGTTTGCCACCACTGATATAGCGTTTTATTCATTCGTTACTTCTGTTTAGATGGATACTTGGTAGTTTATGCAGATTGGATGGAGGGCATATTAGAGAGCCTTTGGCCTGGTAACTGTATATCCGTGAAGTCCGAAGTTACATGATTCATAAAGGATGAGTGGCTTCCTTTAGCTTACCTTGGGAGGATCTGTATGGGCTGTAATTATGGCTATGGATCTGACCACGCTATCAGTGTCAGCTTGTATAATAACTGGAAAGGATTTTGCAGCAGGGCTACATTCTAACGCTTGCTGTTCTGACTCATGGGTGAATCAGAGTCCCAGCATGGGCTCAGAGTACCATGCTCTTTATATATATATATATATATAGGCACAAAAATGTTTGCAGTACTGTTTTTTTCTACCCTTTGGGAAGAAATAATGAGATCTTCAGTGGCAGTAAGCAGATAGAAACAATACAGGAGGGGGTGCATGATCCCTGTCAGCCACATTGGGAACAAGGAAGCCTCTGCTTTTCCTTATTATCGTTTGGATTAAAAGGGGGGGGGGGAGGCTAGATGTCATTTTAAGAGAAATGCGATCACTGGAGAAACTGATAGAGAATCTAGGTAAGAAAAATTGGGTGTTTGAATTTCTTCAGGATATATCAAAGACACACACACACACAAAGAGAGAGAGAGAAAGATACACACAGATACATGTACCCTGATGCCAACTAAGGACATGTTTGTAAAGTTGAAGCAGCCAGGCTTACTCAGTCATACACGGAGCTATTCCTCCTCCAAACTTTCTCTCTTGAGCATATTCTCTATCTTCCTTCTCCTTTCCTAGTATAAAAAGGGAACAGTTAGTTTCTTTAGTGTCAGAAGGGAAAGGAAAATTCTGACTATAGATGTCAGCTCTTAAAGGTAGACCAGCCTTATATGTGCTAAGACTCTTTTAACTGTAAATATATAGTAGCAGCATTTCGCAAGTCTCAATGTGTTTTTCTCTTTCCCTCCTTTTTCATAAGAACAGGGAGGATCTTGTCTGTCTTCTCAAGTTACATCCTGGACTCAACTCTCTTTTATCTGACTTATTGTTATTTCATATGGCATAACAGAATACAGCATTTGTGCATAAAGATTCACAAAAACAGCATGTAAAATGCATATCAAAATATAAAACACCAAAACAGTGAATCTGACTCTTGTCTTGGTAATGGCTTTCCTCCCTGACCACTCTGTCTGTTTTCTATAAATGGACAGAATTCTTGTTTCAAATTTCTGTTTAGTCACGAATTCAACTTGTGACAAAATGTTACTTTCCACATTAGTTCTTTCCTCTAAAAACTGGAATAGCAGAGACTCATATTGTAAGACTGTTGTGAAGACCAATGTTTGTCAAGAAGCTCTTTGTATATTTATTACAGCTATCTCAAAACATTTGTACTTATTGTACCTTATCGCAAGGTAACTGTTTCTACTTCAGAATGTACACTTATTTGCTGTAGATAAATAAGGATAAGGTCCAAATATGAGAGACCCGTGGATGCTTTCATGAAATGGCAACTGAGGGAACACAAGCTTTCATAAAACATCAGTCTACCAAAAGATAAAGAAGAGAAGCTAAAAGAAAAGGCCTCACCTCAAAAGGAAAAAAAATAGTTTAAGAAAAACAAAACAAATCAAAGGCAAGTAACTTTTAAAAATAATGTCAGCCCACAGAACCAAGAATGACACATGGAGTTACTTTCTGAGTAGTTGTTTATTGCTTACGTACAAACAGAATCTTTCAGTTTCAGTCTTTGCATAATTATTACATATATTCTGTGAATTACTAGGGAGGGTCCCTTTTCGCTCTCTTCCAGACATTCCAAGCTCTGCTGTCTTTTTGCCCTCTGAGAAAGAGCCCCTCCCTGCTGAGACTCCAAACTACAACCCACCACGATTATAAGTTAGTTTAATGTTTATCAACCTCAAAAACATTAAGCTCTATGGATTTCAGCTTCCTGGCATGATGGCTGGGGAATTCTGGGAGTTGAAGTCCATAAAATTAAAAGTGCTTGGCTGAGAAACACTTAGAAGAACAAAATAGCCTGCTGTCTATAAAGGAAGAACCTGTATTCATAAAGATACTACAGACATTATTCTGACCAGCAAAATCTGCAGAAAGGTCAAAACAGACAAGCTGGCAGACATGGCAGTGTAATCCAGTCCCCGCCCATTTTATACATGCATTAATGTTGCATGTATGTATAAAGATGAGGGGTTACAACTGTATTACCGAGTAATTGGCTATTTAATCTCCATCCCTCTAGTCTGGACCCTACCATTAGAACTAGGATGATCCTATAACTTACTTTACAGAGCATTGTCTTATGTTTGTAGTTACCCATTCACAATTAACATCTGAGCAAGGACTGTGGGTCACTTGGTCATGCTCAGTCTCACTGTGGTCCTGTTCCTGTTTATTGAAGACCACTACCACCCCTACATCAGAGGTACAGCAGAATTTATATATAAAGAACCATCACTACTTTTTGCTTCCTTGTAAGTAATATTTTACTTACATAGAAAATATAATTTTTTTTCAGGAAATTTTACAGCTAAATGCTTCTGTTGACATAACTTAAACTCTGAAGGTCAAAGAGTATTGCTTTTACTTTACTAAAACAAAAAATATCACGTTTAAAGCCAACAGAGCCAAAGAGCTATTTGATTTGGATTTTGAACAATTGTTTATTTAAGAATGAAAACAAAACAAGCTGTCATTTAAAATTATTACTTAGTACTCTTTCTTATGTCAGCCTTGCGAGTTATTGAATATCTGAAAGAACATTATTAAGTCATCTTATGGTAGATGGGTATCCTAAAATGCTGTTACAACTTCTAAAAATGAAAAGCAGCCCCAGGAGAACACAAGAACACAAGATTCCCTAGCTTTGAACCAGATAGACTATACATAGCAGATTAGGAGAACTGTCTCAGAATGAGAACAATCCCACAGTGGGTGTTTTCTAACATTCTTTCAATCCTTCAGGATATTTTCAGATATCCCAGCTTACCTTGGCCATTGTTTTTCTGGACAGGTAGCCTCATCTCTAAACAAAGCACA